CTGGAAAACAGATATGTAGGACATTTAAAGACAGCTTTTCCTGTCCGATGAATGAATTCCTCTGTCTGACCTCCTATCTCAGCACTTCTATGGCCTTGAGGTCCATTGTTTGCCCTTTCAATGCCTAAAGGGAAACTGTTCACTGTGTCTTTAGACTGCAGCCAAACAATTATTCTGTCTTAACAATATTAATATATGGTCAGGAAAACCTGTATTAATACGTATTGCAGTTTTTAAACAATGTCTTTATTTCTTTGTCTATAAGATAATCAGCTATCCTAACCAACCTCAAACTTTGCAAAATGGCAACTGTTCCCATAAACCTAATATTTACTTGTGGCCAAGTCATTGCTAAGTTGAAAAATAAATAACTAAAGAAATAAGTAGGTAAATTCAGAAAAATAACTCTGTTTTCCACAAAGGATTCCAAAAGGACAGATTTTAGCAGATGATTGTTTTCCTTGGCAGCAAAACATTTCGCAAAAAGATCCTAACTTATTACTTTGGCATCCTGGTTCTCTAGGCTAAGGCTGTTTTCAAAGTAGGGGGCCACTCGGCGGAACTGGGGGGGGGCCTAAGCAAAATTACGGAAAAATAAGAAAATCAAATTACAAAAATAATACAGTAAAATATATATATTTTTTTCGATAATATTTTCTGTACACTATTATTAAATATATTTGTTTTAAGCATTTTCACTAAATTTTAACTGTATACCTACTCTGAATTTGTGTAGCAGAATTACCCTAAAGGTATCAGTAAGGTTTTTTTTAAGTGGGGGTGCACCTATTGTGGTTTTCTGGCCAACATGCTGGTTTCAATTTTGACCAATGCTTATATTTGTTCATCACAGATTTTTTTTATATTTGTCAACAGACCTTCAATGTTTCAAACTTATTTTGTTAAAAAAACGCAACAAAATGATTAAGATATAGTGCTCTTAGTTAAAATAAATACATTTCATTACAATGACAGATTCCTTTGCAGAATTAGATAAGATCATACATGTCACGTCAAAATGGCCGATCCATCTGGATGCTCCTATTTTTTCATAGATCTGTTTCTCTTATCATTAGGTTGAAAATAAAAATCTACATCCCATAAAGAAAATCCAACCTTCTTTGCAAAAGTTTTCTGTTTTTTTATGACTAAAAACATCAAAACAGCAGGTTCTGTAAAATTAAGACACATTTCTTTTTTCAGAAACTCGCATTTTTGGCTCTAAGTCAGTTTTATTTAGCTATACAGAGGAAAGAACAGCTTTTATTTTTTAATCTAATCTTTTGCTCATTGGCTTTTTTAAGAACTTTATGTAATCAGACAAGACTTTTTAAAGTGAATTGTTTTTTCTGTCAGTATCAGTGTCACTCATAGGGCCTGAGTGTGCCTTGTAAAACATAATAAACAAAATTTACAATATAAATATATGGCCAGGTAGTTTTTTTTGAACTGTTAAAAAAAGTAGAATTGAAGGAACCTGGAAAAAAAAAGATTTTCTTCAAAACTTTGTATTGCACGTTTTTCTACTTGCTCTACTCTTGATGTTCTGTATTATACCTTATGTGTTACTTCATCTAAGTCTATTATAGAAAGTTGCAACAAAGCACCAGAAAATTGTGCTACAAATGCGAGAATTCCCATAATCAGTGTCAATAGTAATGGAGACTCAATCACTAGAGAGTTTATAAGAGGCTTTTTTATATTTACTGAAGCAATCAACATAAAAATGCATGTTATTATTCCAAAGCTAGTTATATTTACTGGATGTGAAATGCGTATTTGGATTGGTGGATGAAACGATGGGAGTAGAAGTCTAAGTTGTGGTATATGACTGGAAATTTGATTTTGCTTCCCCAGACTTGGAACTAAAACCATAAATGCTTCACTCTCACTGTCTCAAGACTTTCCACTTGTACCCAGAATGCTGGCCACTGTGATGGTTAAACTATCCGCTTGTCTTTCTCTTTATAGCTAAGCTATCTTTATGTAACAAAACAGCTGATCTATATTCTTCTAATTAAGGTCCAGATTTGTCATTATATAACACAACAGCCATAATTATGTCAACCCTAAATACCTTGTTTTAATCAACTCTTGAATGAACCAAAGATTTTTTTTTTCCTGGACCTGCTCTGATAGCAGGGTTTCCCCATGTGGGCGCCACCTGGTTCAGACTTAATTAATAAAATACACAGTAGACTTTGATTAACATGAAATATCATAGTTTGTATAAACAGTTGATCTAATTGCAGGTTTCAGTCAGACCGCTGCTCCATCTGCATTGAATCTAACTTATCAGAGAGAGGTTCTTTGTATTCGGGGCAAAGTTTAGCCACATGGGGGGTCTGTGGTTTACTGTTTTATTTGGTTTGGAAGACTTGAGAGTGAAACTAACTGAGCCGCAGTTAGTTTGCTCTACTGTTAGACTCGCTGCAGAATCACAACAAAAATATGCCTAAAATAAATTTTTAAAGGGTTTGATTTGCATATGACCCAATATTAACTGCGTGCAAACAGATCAGTAATATAGAAAGTCTGCTTCCCTAGTCTGTTTCTGTTATTGTTTGTTCTAATATGATTATTTCTACTGTAGTATTGGTAATGTACTCTTTGAGAGAAACCCATTGTTCTTTTTTTTTAATCATTATATTTCAAGTTTTATATTATATAATATATGTATATTATATATTATTATATAATATTATATTTTCCCCAGCATTTTATTGTCATTACACTGTCACAACGAAATTCACTCTCTGCATTTAACCCATCCCTTTTCGGCGCCCGGGGAGCAGTGTGGGGTTAAGGGTCTTTGCTCAGGGACCCAGAGTGGCAGTATGTAGGAGTGGGTTTTGAACTCACAACTTCAGGATTCCAAGCTGTATGCCCTAACCACTAGACCACCACTAACTAGACTGTAAACACAATCCATGTAAAAAATAATGTAAAAATTACCATTGCATATCGAGTAGCAAATCCACTAGATTTCATTGGGTAAATCCTACCTTATTTTTAAAGATAGCAAATGTAGCATAAAAATATCTAAAAAAAATCTACCCAAAGATTGTTGCTGTCATGCATGCATGCGCCAAGACGCAACACCTCTGCTGAACCATTCAGAGCAAGAAAAGCTTGCAACAAAGAAAGCAGATAAAAATCAAAATTTGTTCCTTAAATCTAAGTTGTACAAATTTCTCATTTTTCTGTTTTAAAAAAGCAGTTTGAATTCAGACCAGCTGTGCAGCCCTGTTAGCTACGTAGTAAATGAAAGGTCAGCATAGCAGCCTGGATGCTAATAGAGTTTGTAACACTCCTGTCTTGTAATGTGGAGCTCATGCATTTGCTCCCATACTGAGGTCTATTTTAATTTCTTTAAAAGTTTGAGTATACATTACTAAATTTCTCATGGTGTATAATAGATACTAAAATATATATATTTTTACCAATAAAATGTCAGTAAATTTACTTCTCCGAACACTGCAAATTATTACCTTCGCTTTTTAGGGTCAATTGTATATGTTGCCTTTTTTTTTACGGTGTGTACTTTTTGGTTTATGTTTTTTTTAATAGATTTTAGGATGTATTATCTTAACCTTTTCTAAATATATTTAGATTGTTTGCATCAGAATCAGAAGTATTTTATTAATCCCTTGCGGGAAATTCCTTTCTTGCAGTGCAACAGTTTACAGAAGAGAGAAAAATAAGATTGTAAGTATAATAGACCAAAATAAAATATAATATGATAAGATAGAATTAAATAAGTAAAATTACACCCTTCCCATATAAACAGTGTAACATGAGATCTATGAATAGAATAAGACGAGGATAAGAATAGAATAAGATAAGGATCACCAGTATCAACAGTATTTACAATTTACAATGCTGCTCAGTACCAAATGACAATTATTGCACATGACCCTGTCATTGCACATAATGAAGTAATGAAATAAATAAATATTAAGAAATGAAAAGAAATGGCTGTCAGAGAGATGCATTTTACAGTTTGGTGGCCACAGGCAGGAATAACTTCCTGTTGTGCTCTGTGTTGCAGCGTGATGAAATGAGTCTCTGACTGAAGGTGCATGACGGACTGATGTAGGCTTAGCCAAGCTTTTTACTGCATAAAGTATATGTAAAACAAAAAAAAGTATATGTAAAAAAAATTACAGAATGAATGATGATGTCTTAGTGAATCACATTTCCCTGACAGAAATAGACCACTTTTGTCTTCATGGGTTAGTGAGCCACAGCTTTATTGGTTTGGTTTAATAACCTCTCTCTCTGTCATGTTTGGGTGAATTACAAGAAATGAAAAGTCACACATGCTAAATTGCAGACAAATCACAGAATTGTCTATCTTGTTGCTTGCTACCTTTAGAAGCAATAACCTGATTGAGCTGTTTGCCTTCTTGACATTATGAAACTTCATCGTCAATGTTGAGGGTTTTTAGTTAGTGGTTAACCCAATGACTCTCTCATGCCCCAACATATATTTTTAAGGAATATATTGGCTTTATTTTGCCTTGGTAGCGCAAACTGAACATGTAACCATACTTCTCTCACAGATTAAATGCTTTCTCATTGCAACCAAACTAGCACCTCTTTAGTAATATCTGTCTCATAATTGCACACTCTACCTTTTTTCTGATTTTACTTTTATACATACTTCCTAGCTTGATTTTCTGTTTTCTAAGTAATAATGCCAGAAATTGGAAACCTTCCTGATTTTTAAAGTATAAGAGGTTTTTTTTGCTTTCATTCCCTTAGAGTTAGTTGACTCCTTTTTTCCCCTTTCAACCACCCTTACTGATGTCACATTGTTTCCATTAAATTTTTTCTGGGACATTTATTCTGTAAATGCAGCTCCTTCATCTTCGGAAATCTAGGAAGACAGAAACGGTTACTCCTTGACTGTGATCTCTGCAGCTGCAGCAGGTAGAATGCAGCCATTTGGCAAAGCTTTAATAAAAACTCTGTTGTTTCCTCTTCTTCCTCTGCAGGTGGAAATCACTCTGCAGGACATCAATGACAACCCACCTGTTTTTCCTAATGATATTCTTGATGTGACCATTGAAGAGAATGTCGGCGATGGCTTCAAGATAATGCAGCTAACAGCCACAGATGCAGATGAGGTAATGGCTACTCAACTTTTCTTTCCTGAGCAATATTTCAGTAGAAATAATTGGAAATTGGAAGGTAGAAAAGCCAGGGTCCCCAGCTTCAATCAGTATGATGCTTGGTTAATCTGAATTCTAAATATTGTCTCCTTTCAATTCTATTCCAAATACTTTATTAATCCCAAAGGGATAGGATAGTTGTTTTCTTATGAAATTTAAATTTGAATATCAGACAAAGCATCTAAAAAATAACTAGAGTCAATATGATAATTAACAATGATAAGACAAACTTAAGCTGAAGTATCTGTAAAAGTATTACAAAGCTGTTTCTAAGCCATTGGGACTCTATTGATTAACAGTGAGACCTTTTATCCACAAATGAACGTGTGTTAATCATTCAAAGAGCGGCTAGGAAACCAACATTACTAATAAAAACAGAACAACATTTTGAAGCTTTCTTGACTTCAGTGTTCTCATTTAAGCTAGTAATTCCACAATAACAAAATAGGGGAATAATAATAATGGCCTCTAAGGGAGAATTCAATGTCTTGAACCACTGCTGACCAAAAATATCACAAGAGCTGAATCAAATTCATTAAAAATACCTTTGCTGACCCTCAGGACAACTCTGTGGATTAAAGGTGGGCATTTATCATATAGATTATTGTTAATGTAATAAGTTTTTGCTTATAAAAATTGGTCATGTATCGTCTAAATGATTAATTAAAATCAATGATGAGTAAAACTCCAGAAACAGGGTAAATTGTTAGAATTTCTATTGTTAATACCTTTCTTTCATTTTATTTAGGTTGGAGCATTGGATATTCTGAAGATTATGATTGAATGTGTTTTAGTCATATAAATCATATTTCTTTATGTAATGGGTCTCCTAAAGAAGCAAATTGTAAGTTTATATGTTCTTCAAGAATCTTATTTTGTGTTTTGGAGCAATGGTTTTTGTGTTAAGCAGTCACAACCATACAGTTACCTAAGAAGGAATACAAATAAGTAATGTTTGCATTTTAATCATTATTTCTATTGTTATTATGGCAACATCACCTGATAAAATATGATTTTAAATGATATCACCCAGTCCTACCCTCAACTGACAAAAACAAATGTTCACTCATTTAAAAGGTATTTGTCTCCATTAGTCTGTCTATGACTAGAAGTCAAGCTCACTTGGGTCATGCATAACAATGGCCTAGTATAAGAGGTTTTTATTTTTGTAATATAAGAACGAGATTTTTTTAGCTTGACCTTTTATAAGCTGTTGATGCTCAAAACCACATAAGTGTATAATAACTACATATAACTGTAAAACAATATTCTTCCACAAAAATGTAAAATACTCATTGGCAGTTAAAAGAGCCCACAATGGCAGCTGTTGCTTCCATAGATGGAAGAACAATTTATCAAGTTTAGATAAGAAGTTGGTTTCAATTCTTTTCTTTTTTTTCCCCTAAAGGGTTGACATTTTCATTTAAAATCTTGTTTCAAGGTTTTGCTGTTTTATATTGAAGTTAGATGTGAAAGTTTGAGGTGAGCCCAAAAACAAACAACTAAACAAAACAAATTTGTTTGGGAAAACATACTCCTTACAGCACTGTCATTATGCTGTTGAAAAAGCTAACATTTATCTCAGTGATACTTGCAAAAAAAACCTGCTACACAGAGTCCCAGCCTTTGTGGAGAATGTTTGCTTTTTATCAACAGCATAATTCTCAATTAGCTTAAGCCTTCATCTTTAGCTGCTTTGGTGAAATGTAGTTTAAAGATCAGCTTTCCTTTCTTTAAGTCCCAAATGAGTAGAAAAAGTCAAGCTATACAAAGGAGCAGTGATGGGACTAACGGCGTTGAAAGTAACAGCGTTACTAACGCCGTTACCTTGTTTTAGTAACGAGTAATCTAACTAATTACTTTGACTGTAACTATAACGCAGTTACCATTGCAGACACCCCGTTACTGCGCGTTACTCAGGTCGCAAAATGAACCTTTTTTAATGATAGGACTCGTGCGCAGCTGCGTGAAGCTGACACCCCACCCACGTCAAAAAACTCTGCAAATAGACTGAATGGTTAGTGCAACGTTAGTGCAGATTTGTGCAGAAAAAAATATTGTTTGGGCTACTTTTGTTTAAGAGATATTAAAGATTATTTTTTAGGTCATCCAGAGGTGCGCGCCTTGTCATGAGAGAGGGGAGGATGAGAATGGCTGATGTATAGTGAGATTCTGTCTGTCAGTTGGGTAGGTGGGTGTTTCTGCTGGTGGGTGTTAACGTACAGCACACACAGAGAGATGGAGAGTGAGGATGACTCCAGCAGCAAAACAGCGTTTTCCAGATGGAAATACCGGTGTTACGTAGAGCTGCGTTTCCCCATCACATACGGTTTCCTCTGCATTTCCGCACAGCGCAGGCGGCACGATTCACCGCGCAAGCGACAGGAAACGCGCATGCTCGCTAAAGGCGCGCAACAGTCGCCCTGTGCTCGCGCCACAGGAGAACTATGGAGAGCGTGAACGATCAAATGAAAGGGAGAAATCTGGATAGATGGATGGATGGATGGATGGATGGATGGATGGATGGATGGATGGATGGATGGATGGATGGATGGATGGATGGATGGATGGATGGATGGATGGATGGGTGGATGGATGGGTGGATGGATGGATGGATGGATGGATGGATGGATGGATGGAAGGATGGATGGATGGATGGATGGGTGGATGGATGGGTGGATGGATGGATGGATGGATGGATGGATGGATGGATGGGTGGATGGATGGATGGATGGATGGATGGATGGATGGATGGATGGAAGGATGGATGGATGGATGGATGGATGGGTGGATGGATGGGTGGATGGATGGATGGATGGATGGATGGATGGATGGAAGGATGGATGGATGGATGGATGGAAGGATGGATGGATGGATGGATGGATGGATGGATGGATGGATGGATGGAAGGATGGATGGATGGATGGGTGGATGGATACTCTGCCTTTTCAACCTACTGTATTTTTTATTTTAAACATTATTTGATGGCCTTTGTGGCAGGGATGGAGATCCATATTTTATGTCACACGCAGAGTATACAGATAGATAGATAGATAGATAGATAGATAGATAGATAGATAGATAGATAGATAGATAGATAGATAGATGTTGAATAGATAGATGATTTCAGAACTAGACATCCCCAGTTATTAATTTCACCAGATCTGAATGCCCTGTTAAAAAACTTCACATGGCGTTCCCCCCTGATGTCATTTACGTTGAGTTGCAATAAATGCTAAACTCTCTGCAGGTTCTTGTCTTTGTCGTCCGCTCTATTCAGCTGGTTTTGGAAACACACCGCGAGAAGGTGGGGGCTGGGTGGTGAGGTTTACGGGGGCGAGAAACGCAAAAGTAACGCAATAGTTACTTTTACTAGTAACTAGTTACTTTTATTGTGGAGTAACTCAGTTAGTAACTCAGTTACTTTTTGGGAGAAGTAACTAGTAACTATAACTAATTAACTATAACTAACTAAAGTAACGTGCCCAACACTGCAAAGGAGAACGGTTAGAAAGCAGTCCTATGGACTGAGATTTCAATTATTTGCCACACATTGTTATTTCTCAGCTGTTGCAATTTTCCCTTCTCTGCAATAAATGCGAAAGTCACAGAAAGATCTAGACTTATTTACTAAATGATTCAGGTATTTTTATTTTTTTTTAATCAATTATAGAGCCAAAGTATTCAAATGTTTAAATATAAAGCTTTTAATATAAGGAAATAAATCAATGGCCATTTTTCCTTTTATGAATTTATGAAAAGCCTGAATTGTGTAAGTCACAAGGTAGGATCTTTGTTTCAAATAAATCTGTTCCCTTAGAGAGCTGTATGTAAAACCTGATTGAAAAATCAAATGAAATCAGTTTTGAGAGAGAAGTCAAATCTTGTTTTGATGCACAGATTGAAATAAACAAGAATGCAACATTGAGGAGCCTTTTTAGGATTTAAAGATTATAGTGATGTTTACTCCAAACTGCAGGGCTGCCATGAATAGATTGCAAAATAGAAGCCTGTATTTTATCCCAGCTCTCTCCAGAGCCAGATATGAATCCAGCCAAGTCTTTGCCCACATCCTTATGCAGGAAACTAAAGTTGCGCTGACATTCAATGTTCGGAACACATTGGTGGGAAAGCCACATGTGCAAGTAGCCAAGAGTGCAAGATGTTGGCCAGCTGACGGGCTGAGTTCAGACGTTATAATGATTCCATCCCATTTAACAGCTCTACATGTGGGAATCATGTGTGATGGGATTAAAATCTTGGTTCAACACATCCGTTTTTTCCTACTCACATTTCCACCCAAAAACAAGCTCTGGATTCCAGTTGGATTTAAGTAAAATCAATAAGAACGTTTGGCTTACTTCAAAATGTTTCCCTTTCCCTTTTTTCGCCTTTTTGAATTTAAAGGATTCATTAGACCTCTTATAAGTGCGTTTAGAGACTGAACCATATCATTGTGTTGGTGCAAGACGGGCTGGTCTGAGTATTCTTAGAATCGTCTTATTCATTTCAATTAAATTATCGCTATTTATATAGGTGTCTCAAGGCAATTAAAAAATACTAAATTCTATTGTATTACTTAGATAGATTCCAGTCAAGAATATACATTATAGTTCAACCTGGAGAAACTCACAAAGAGAAAAGTTGTGATCAGAAACGTTTATTGGCATCAAGTTTTTTTGCCCCTCGGACACCAGCTGAAAACTTCGTTTTCAGAGCTGATGGATGATCAGATTGGTGGATTTAGGAGAGAGAGGACACTGATGTTGGAATAAACCCAGGTTGAAATAGATGGAGCCTGTACCGATATTCACTTCTTTAGGAGGAGAAGGGGTGGAGGTGGGTACAGAAATGGCCTTTTAGCAGGAGGAACGTTAATAAACGACGCTTAAAGAACAAGACCTTGCAAGTCGATTCGTTCCATGAAGGGTGCAGTACCAAGGCTGATTGGCTGAGATTTGTAGGTAGGGCTCTAGCAGGTTTTTTTTTGCCTATGGAGATCCCGTAGATTGTTTTGAGTCAATAGATTGCAGCATTCACTCCGCCTGGATGAGCATGTAGTAATAATGGAAAGTCACTTTCATTGTGTTACTGACTTTGCAGCAATCCCTCATACAGCAGCAAGCATGCATTTTGTGACAGTGGGAAGCAAAACTCCCTTTTAAAAGAAAGAAAAGCTAGCAGAACAAAATTTCGCTTTGTATACACTGTGTATACAAAAAGACAGTAAATGTTGTCTAAGTCTAAGAACCGGGCCCAGTGTAGGCCTTCTGCCATAGGAGACAACAAGGCCGAGTATAAACACACAGAAAAAAACACAGAAGCACCAATCTAGCAGAAATTTCCATTTGAAAAACAAAAGTGAAAAGTAAATGACAGCAGTAAACACTTTAGTGGCTACATCTAGGAGGAAAGGGGGTTCAGCCACAGTCTTAAGGTACACCTACTTAAGGGCCTAAGTGTATTTTGGAGGCTCAAAAAAACCTCCCCTTAAATTCAATGCACCAGCTTGGCTTATTTTCTAACTGGCTTTATCTAAAAGCTGCCATTGCTTATTTTCTAGGAGTCTGTGTTATGATTGTCTCGGCTCTGCTGTATAAAGGAAGCTTTCTGTCCTTGTTTGCAGTCTGTTTTACACTTCTCACTTTTCCTGGGATTAGCAGCTATCCTTTAAACGAATTTCCCTGTGCTCTAGCACTATTTTTTTAAGCCACAGTCCCCTCCTCCATAACAGCTTTCTATGTCAAAGTGGGCCATAAAGCAGACAACAAGAGTCGAGGTCAAGACACTGAGATTTTTTTTTTTTCTGTATGGAGGTTTTCAGTATTTTAAAGTAAAAGTGACCAATATTTTTTAGATTTTAAAACAATTATAATTATAATAATGACAGCAGAGATCCTTTTACAGATCCTTGTGGTCAGACGAGCCCCAAACCCAGCATCTTCCATTTTCTTTGCTCTGCCACTGAACCAGATCAAAAAAATTAATTGGCAAACCCTGGGTGTTGGGTTCCGGACCACAGCACAGGTGGCTAATGGGATTGCCAGATCTAGAGCAAATGATTAATGACAGCAGGGTCCTTAGATGAGCAGAATTTTACCCTCCTTCCTTTTTTTTTTCATTGGACCTGGAACTCAGACAAAGTTCTGGTAATGCAATGAGAGAGACGGTGAAGAAGACAACATTTAAAAATACAGTCTAAGTACGGAAAAGTGATGAGTACATCAAGAACTTAATCTGACAACACTAATTGCGTCCAATAATAATATAAATTTAAAAAGTCTTGATGAAAGAATGTAGTTTTGTGGGAAGCAACTCTATCTTTTGTCCAGTCCAGACAGACTGTTACAACTTCTACTAAAGGTAAAAAGCTCCAGACTAAAGTAACTTTTTATTGTCTTCAAACTCAATGTTCCCGCAGTGGAACACCAGCTATGTCCAAGACTTTTACAGACCACTGCTACGAAGTTGCTATGGTTGTACAACTTCTGACCTGTAATATCGATTAGAGTTGAAAATGTACAATCAGTCAAAATTTATCAGTGTGCATCAGTGGAAACAAAAAAAAGAGCATTAGTACTTTTACTCTATCACAGTTCAACCATGAACTTTGATATATTTTAATATTTTGTTGAAATTTTACGTCTCCTCAAAGTGAGTGGCTGTCATGGCATGGAAGGAAGAATGGTTTTCCAAATGTTTGACACAATAATCATTTCCTAATGATTTTTAGGGATACACAATAACTTCCCATTCCTAAGGGCCAGACCCTTGCTTCTGGTTCAATTTGCATTGTCTCTAAGCCAAAACAAGATTTTGGGCTACTATATAAAGCTTCAAACTCAATGCTAATTCTGACATTTTGAATTGAAAAATGTCAGGTTTCACTTCCTGGATGGGAAGCGAAACATCTCAAAACTTGGAAACCATGTTCAGTGGATTGTTTTTTTTAACAGTTTTGGAATGAGTATGAACTGGATGACTTAGAATCTTTACCAGCAAATGACACAATAATCAAGCAGAGATTTTAGTTTTTGAATTTTGAAATCACAAATGGGTTGGAAACCAGGCAGTACTGTTTGAACAGCTTTTTGAAACAGATTGTGAGAGCATCGTTCACCACGATTATACATGTGTCAGTTTGAAACAACCTAATGCAACACCTCTCTTTATAAGCTGTCCCTTTGGTCTGATGGGATCAGACAGCAATACACAGACATCAGGCTAAACTGAAAGAGACTCTTTTAGCTTAACTGTAACTGGAGCCTTTGGTTCTTTTTACTGAGTAGCAGTGAGCTTTTTGAAGTCGCTTTTAGCTTTTTTGGCAGAAGGTACAAAAGGGAGACAGTGGTCTGATCTCTCATTGTCTCGACACAAATATAAATGTCAAGCTCTGTCGTCAGGCCCATTCACATGTCATATCACATTCGCTCCTCTTCTCCTATTCCAAAGCTTCTTGCCACGGCCATCATGTGCATCATGGAGCTTAGAGCTATCTGAAGCAACACAGGATTAGTTTATTGGATTTGGAAAGGAAACTAGGAAATTTCATAAGATGAGAAAGGCTTTGCACAAACTCAAATTCCATGTTTTGTTTTTGTTTGCCTTATCTTAATATTGAATCTGTAAAACTTTATGAGGCTTTAGGGTAACATTCTTCATTTTTTCTGTGAAATGAATCACAACATTTTAACACAGTAGTTTTAAATTATTATATATATATAACATTTTTGTGAATACTAATTTTTTTTGTGAATTACTAATTTTGTAAAACTAATGTTTTCTTATTCTTCTAAGAAATAATTATGTAATTATGTCTTGTTCATCACAGGCTCAACTCTTATAAAGACACTTAGGGCATACTTACAATAACCACTTACAGTAATTAAATGAACATATTTTTAAGAGTTTCCAAAACCTGTAGCGTAACAGGACTAGAAATTGTAGAGGCTAATGTTTTCACTTTAGAATAATATTTTGATTAATTAAATTTTTTCAATCAAGACATTTAGATTCTACTGATGGATGTAATCAACCAGTATGAGACCAGTATGAGACTTAAATCCAGATCCAACTGTATATATTAAACCTTAAAACTGGAAAAAAAAAAAAAAAAAAAAACAGACTATAGATACTAATTAAAAGTGGGGGAGTGGCAGCCTAGGGATTGGGGTATAGGGCTTGGGATCCTGAGGTTGTGAGTTTGAAACCCTCTACCACAGACTTCCACTCATGGGGCCCTGAGCAGCCCCCTGCTCCACAAAGGGGATGGGTTAAATGCAGAGTTAATTCCTTCATTGTGAGATCAATAAAGTTAAATTTAATCTTTATTATTAATCTTTAAAAAAAACAGACAATTCCCTAAATAATTACATAAAAGCTGCTTGTGAACTTTTCTTTAAATGTATCTTCAACCATTTTTAGGAGGAAAAAAAATTAAATAGAATTCATCTTCTTATACCTTTTTTTTTTGCTTGAGGAGGTAGGAATCTGACTTGTGTGTATGCATGTTCATCTTGATGTATTGTTAGAAACAGAAGTCCTTTGCCATGGTTTTTTTTAGCATTGTTTCGTGGTCTCTTAGACAATAACTAAAAAGTTACCAAAGGAGCAATACTTATGAACTGCCTGCAGGTGAGTCTCTGATATTGGAAGCAATATTTTTTGTCGTGTAGAGATGAGATTGGTGACTACAACACTGGTTAATATTGACACCCTTTTACATTGATGTCAGCATAGAAGGAGAACCAAAATCGCATTTTGTAGAGAGAATACTCTTGCTGGCTTTTCTAGCTTAAAAAAAGAGCCCACAACTAATAGATGCTTTCACGCTCCGGTTTTTAACAAAACTCCAACACCAAAGCACAGTTTTACCTGAAAAAGTCATATTTCCTTGTGATAAAATCATTTAGATGAAAGAAAATTAGAAAAGAACAATTAGAGTAACAATAAAAAAAGAAAAGAAACAAAGCTGTTTAAGTCACTAACTTTTAGCTATGATTTAGATGTAAAACAGGATTACCTTCTTCAAAAATGTTTTGTAATGGTTTTACTAAACGTTTTGTAAAACGTTTAGTAAAACGCTAAAAGCATAAATTGGTAAAAACTTGTATGACCTTTACACAGTGAACCTGCCTTTCCCAGACCAACTTCATTAAAATAACTTAATCGAGCACAGCAGCCTTATGTTAGTGAGCTTGTTTAGATTTTTGATGCTCAGACTGATTAAGACCTTCTAACATTTTTTCTTGTTCTGGTTTCATCGTCCAAATTTGAGATACGTAGCAAAGAAAAAAAAAAAAATCAAAATCACAAGCTCTCTCCTGACAAATTGTCTCTGGGAAAGAAGCCACAGAGAAAGGTTTCATTCATCCTCAACGAGTCTGGAGTTTGATCTGGAGACAGGGAAGTCGAAGAGTCTGGCTTTGCTGCCAGACAGTTGTTTGATTTTTACCTGTCAGCCTCTGTTGGTTGATAATTAGATTTTGAAGGATTTTTTTTTTTTTTTAAGTCAAGCCAATGTATTGTATTACTGCATTCAAAATCCCCCAAAATAAGTGAATAAAACGAATAAAAATGTAGGAAAGGTTAAACAAGTTCTTTTTCTTTTTCATTTACTCTCAGGGTCCCAATGCTTTAGTGACTTACACCATCATTAGTGGAGCCGATGACAGCTTTCGCATCGACCCTGAATCCGGTGACCTGATCGCCACCAAGAAGTTGGACCGAGAACGCAGGTCAAAATATTCCCTCCTGGTGCGAGCAGACGATGGAAAGCAGTCCTCAGACATGAGGCTGAACATCACTGTCCAAGACGTCAACGACCACACGCCCAAGTTCTCCCGTGCGACGTATTCATTTGACATCCCAGAGGACACGGCGCCAGGTGAGGTCACTTAATGGAGCATACGGTTACAAACCAAACATGCTGAAATGGACGGAGCAGGCCATGTTTTGTCTCCTGGAAAAGCTCTCAGACCAATCTAACACAGCTCAAGGGGGACATTTTTTTTCTTGTGCATTTTTTGCAAGCTGTTTTTATATGTGTTGTAGCCTTGAAATATTCTGCCTCTTTCTCAGGAGTAAAATCAAAAGTTTAGTGGGTCAAAAGGAGTATAAGTCAGCGTTGATTTACAGCCACTGACAACCATCTGGCAGACCTCATTCACCCCTCTCAGCGCCAAAAAGGAGTTTGCTAATCAAAGAAAAATCTCCTTTAGGATGAATTTCAGCTATAATCCTGTTAAGTACACTGAAACCCCTTTATAATCACCTGTTTGTTCAGACACATTAGACACAGACAGAATTACCAACCCGCTCAACAATCAGTGACTCATTTCTATTAAAGATAATCCTCCAGCAATAATATTTTAAAAGAAAACAGCAAACATTGCGCCCTTGTCATCCCCTTAGGCTCCATTGTGGCGGCGATCCTGGCTAGCGACTCTGACTCAGGGTTGAACGGGGAGATCACATACTTGCTGGAGGAGGACGATGAAGATGGGACCTTCCTCCTCAACCCAGTGACGGGGGTCTTCAATGTGACGCGTCCATTAGACTACGAAGCCCAGCAGTATTACATTATTACTGTGAGAGCCGAGGATGGCGGCGGGCAGGCCAGCACGGTCCGGGTATATTTCAACGTGCTGGATGTGAACGATAACTCCCCAGTCTTCGACACGACGGTGTACAGCGCCTCTGTCTCCGAGAGTCTGCCGCCTGGATCCAGTATCGTCACCGTTACGGCCAGTGATGCTGATGATGGTACGTATGGAATTCCACAGGTTCTTTTTTTGTTGTTTGTTTTACAATATTTTAACTTTGTTTCATGCTACAAATGAAGGAAACTACTCCCGCTTAAAAACACAGATTCTATTCAAGGGAAAAAACTGTGCTCAAAACATTTCTGCTGAAATTCTGACTTTTTATAAGGCAGCAAGTTAATATTGCAGAAAGCATTTATGGTATTATCATATGTTTTATAAGATATAGTTAGAAATGAATTATGACATCCAAACAAGGGTGCCATTATCTTAGCAAGTTTGAAGCAGTTCTGTTGCTCTTTTAACGGTTAATATTTCCAACTCATAAGTACAATAAACAATTACAGGAATGTCTTAATACCATTTTTCTAAAATCTTTGTTCTATAGTATTTTCATATTTGTTTTTTCCCTTTTATTTTGCTCGAGATTTTTCTAAAGCACAAAATAAAAAATAACACATCTGTAAAGTATTCATTTGCAACGTATAAATAAGAGTAATAATAGGAGTCTTTTTGTAATGTGGTACCTTCTTACTACAAAAAATGCACCAGCTGTTATGTGGAGTGTCCAGGGTTATTTTTGCTTTTCAAGTGTTGGAATTTTGAGATTTTGAAGTGAGTGTGATACTTGAATGATCAACACTGCTCTATCCTCTGCTGTAATTACACCTTTATCCAAACCTAATGTGGTTATCCTGACCTACATTCCTTGGAAATACATTTCCATGCTCTCTTAACCCCGAGCCTGGCTTCTTTCTCCACATAATCTGACCACATCGTCCTCTTAGATACAGAGGGGCAGTTTTTCACTGTCACTGTAAAACCTTGCCATTGTTAGCACTTCCAAAGTCCCAACCCTTGACCCAAAGACTTGTCCCCCTGCAGCGTAGCCTAAACTCTAACAGAATCAGCATTCAGGCTCTTGATGATGAATAACTTGTGTACTGTAAATACACATTCAGTGTGAGAAGGTGTCAAAGCTTTCCACATGAATACCCTGTTGAGTTGAATAACCGATGCTCAATTTAAGTTCATTTTAACTACTTCCTGGGGAGCTTGATACATTAGTGCAGATTTCAAGGTTAGATGGTTTCCTCCATAAATCTATTCAGATGTGAAGCAGTTATGCAGATAAATAGATGTGCCTTTGGGTCAATTTGTTTTTTCTAAAACTAAAGAAAGGCATTATCAGTTGTGGAAGTAGCTTACAGTTGGGTTTCTGTTTTGATAGGAATCTGTCATGCTGCTTGAATGGATTGAAATGGTGGAGGTCAAGAGGAGAAGCCAGTTGTTCCACATGTACAATTTGTGGAAATGGATGTTGATTATCCACATGATAGCCCAAGGCAGTATATTTAGTTTTTAAAATATCAAGAACAATAGAGATATCGGAATTTGACCTTCATTTTAACTTGCTTTCTTATAGTCGTCTGCTTCTCTTTGTTTGCTTTTCCACAATTGAGGTTATAATAAATTTAGTCGCATACAATTTTTGGAGATGAGTCAGTTTTATATTGTTTTCACCAGGATTGGTTTCACCGAATTTCCTTTACAGTAGGTCGAGCCTTAATGTGGCTTCAAACAGGGTCCCTGCAAGGTCTTAAAGTCCTTCAGCTAATGATGCATTCAGTCATTAGTATTTTCTAGAGAATAGTGATGATTTATTGAGTTAGCAAATAGAAAATCATTAAATTCTGCAAATATGTTGTATAATACACAGTCCTATAGTGTAAGTGCAGGTTTGTGATATAACTTCCCCTTTAAGTTATTTTTTCTTTGGTAAATATATGTATTTTTTGCACAGTCCTCACTTAATTTAAGCTCTAAGTGGGTTTTTCTTTCACCATTTGTCATCTATTACTGTATATTTAGTCAAAATATTAATAATTCATCAACTGGATTAATTGACTGTTATTTGAATATATAATCAATGACCATTAATCTGATCATTTGTTTCAGCATTAATCCTTATTATAGGCTTTAACAATAACTATAGCTATGTTTTTAAAATTCCAAAATAGGTCATGTCTTATAATTGTTAGGTTCTTTCAATATTTGCTATGCCTTTCATTTTAACTCTACTTAAATAGATATTTAGTCATTTATTGTGCTGAAAAAGGCTCATATGTTTTGCCAACTGAAATTAACTTAAGCTAATTAGGCTACCCAATCCATAACCACGGAAAAAAAATATACAATGTTGGACATAAAGTTGGAAAAATGTGGTTGTCAGACACATTCCTGGTTTTATTGTGGTTTTATTTCCACAGTGATATGTTTCTAAGATAATGATCTATAAAGATTTAAGTGCATATAAACCTAATCTGTCAAGAATAAATCACATTGTTGCAATTACCTCACGAGAAGAGGTACAAATATTTTATTGCAACTTTATGAGCAACAGTGAATTTAAAGAGCTTTGGCTTAAATACATAGATTTCATTGGTTGGTTAAATGAATAAAACAATCATTAAGCATGTGAAGCTAACTGTGTTGTGTAAAAGTGCTAAAGTTGGGAACTCATGATATAAAAGTATCTAAAACACAAGTCAAATTTAAAAGTAAAAAACAGTATTGGCCCACTTAAAGATTTAAGTCACTGCTAAATATTTTAAATCAAGTTTTTATATCAAAGATACCCTATATAATAACACAATCCAATTTTGATGATTTCATCATTATTTTATAGGAGTAATAAGTGAAAATAGATACTCGAACAAACTTTGTGCAGTGTCAAAATATAAATTCCTCCGTTGTTAAATCTTGATTCAAAAGATGTGAACCATGATTTCTGCAGTACTTCCGAAACCCGTTGAATGAAGAAATCAGTTAAACAGAACTTCAAGAAGAAAGCCACCAACAGCCTAAAAGCCATTTCTATGAGTTTGGGAGGGGCATGAAATTATGAACTTGTATCTTTTTGAGATACTGTATACCTTAAACAGTTTCTTGTTTGTTAGAAATTCTCCATTGTAATAAAATCAATTAAATATCATGCAATAGCTAGCTGATAAATAAGGAGGATTGCAGTAGTCATCTGTGTTTTTTGTTTGACAGGGTTTCTTTCTGGCTAATATAGAAACAGAAAAAAGAAAATAATTTCAAAGCACATTATAACAATATCATGCAAAATACATAAGGATTTAAAAACAAACACAATATTAATCTGAGATTCAAAATAAAATGTACAATAACATGCTCTAATAAAAGAAAAAAACCTTTATCTTTTCAGGTCCAAATGCCCAGCTTCTTTACAAAATTTCATCTGGTGATCCTCATGGCCACTTTTTCATCTCCAAGGAAGGTGTTCTCAAAACAAAGAAGGCACTTGACCGGGAAACCCAGTCCTTCTACAACCTGGTGATCACTGTCAATGACCTGGCACTGCCTCCCGCCTCTCGCTTCACCAGTACCGCCCAGGTGTCAGTCATCCTCCTTGACGTCAACGACTGTCCTCCCAATTTCACCTCCCAGAAGATGACTTACATTCAGGAGAACACGCCGGTGGACACTGTGGTGTTTACCGCCCAGGCCACAGATGCTGACAGCGGACCAAACAGCTATGTGCAGTACTCCCTCAGCGGACCTTTTCGTAACAAGTTTAGCATTGGCATGATCGACGGAGGCGTCAGGTTGGTTGGAGAGCTAGACAGAGAAGAACTTTCCAACTATACACTCACGATTGTCGCCACAGATAAAGGTGAGCCCCCTCTCTCCTCCACCATGGATGTGATTATGATGGTTCTGGATGTCAACGACAACACACCAAGCTTCTCCCAGAACATCTACGACATTGAGATCGAGGAGAACATCTTGACTGGCACTGATGTCATCCAGGTCTTTGCCACTGATGCAGATGAGGGCACAAATGGGCAGATCCGGTTCTCTATCGCCAGCGGGAACACCAACAATGATTTTCGGATCGATTCGGTCACAGGGGTGATTTCAGTAGCCAGACAGCTTGACCGTGAAGCACATTCGTCCTATTCACTGGTGGTCCAGGCTTCAGACCGTGGAAGTAGCCCCAGAGTGGACCGCACAACCGTCAACATCATTTTATTGGATATTAATGACTGTCCACCAGTGTTTGAGCTCTCTCCGTACACCATCAACGTCAAAGAGAACCTTGAGAACTTACCAAAAAACATCCTGCAGGTCAGTCTTTTCCCTTCATTTTCTTTTTCGTTTTGTGCAGTGATGTTTAATTTCTCTTTTAGTTCAAAGAAAGGTCCTTATGATAAAGCTAAGCGAGTGCTTTAAATGTCAGTTCAAAGACCTTCTGCAAGCTAATGCCTTAACCAAATTTGTACTAATGCTAACCTAATAAGCGCAGGTATGTAAGTGGTACAAGTTCACTGAATCACTGGGCTTGGTGGTCTTATTTTGTTAAATGACAAATATCTGACTGAAATGATAAATAAATGATATATGGCAGCAATTTGTTCTGCTCAATTAAGCTCTTATAGGATTTCACCAAAATATGAAACTGTTCTAAATTTCATGACGAGGCAATTAACATCCTAACCACCCTGATGACTAAATGAGGCATGTATAAAAAATGGAGCCTTATTTCCAGTAGCACGGCAGCTGCGCTTTCCTTCACGTGTATACCTTAACAGGAAATGAGGCTACAGTTATGTGATGGGAAAGACTCCAGACGTCGTGGCTGCACAGGAGCTCACATCTGTGAGCTGAGCTGGTTGTAATAGGCATGTCAGGAAGGTATGTGAAGCCAAGTGGGTGAAAATTGGACTTGTGAATACATTTTACTCTGAGAAAAATTAAAACATATGTCCGCATCTAAAAGCAGGGGAACCCTACTTAGCAAAGAACTGGTATTACTTTGGTGTATTCTTTGGGAAAGTCTGATTAGACTAGTAATGACCTTTCCTGCCTTGACAATTACCTCCATGGTGCCAATGGTGGTAATTACCCCCATCTGTTTTACTGGAATGATTTATACTGGACAGTGGTTACACTGGTTTATACCCTGCTTGGTTTATGGCCCACTTACTGCAACCCTCGGTGAAAATGTGCAAAAAGCCTTAAAATGCATTAAATTTTTCTTTGATTTGCAATATTATACCACAAAGCCTAGCTGGTTATTGGATCTTATTGTTATGTAAAGGAAGAATTCCTTAAGATAATTCCTGAATTCTGTATAAATAAGAGGCAGGATTCATCTGTTAGGTCTTGAACAAAGGAAAAGCAAAAGAGCATTTTTAGATATACTTTCCTCAATCAACAGTCAAGAAAATAAATTAAATGGTGTCTATAAATTGATGTTAACCCCTTGATGCCTGATGTTGGAAATCTGCAACAAACCTTTTGTATTCCCTACACAGCCAAGATAGCATGTGCATTCCTCAGAGACAGTTACTACACATTGAAGCTCTTGGGTCTGTTACTTCTGGTTCATATAAATATTAAACTTACATTTAAATCTTGCAACTAACATTTTGCATAAGAATTAAATGTAATCTATTCTTTATATTTTTTATGAACAATAACCTAGGATGGCTTGGTTTTACATATCATCAAAGGACAAAGCAGATTGTCCAAATAGTAAAAGATTACTCACTTATTTAATGATGACAAGGTAAAATGTAATTATTTATACATATAAAATGGGAACAAAGATAATATTTTGAAGTTAATTTAAATAATTTAATAATCTAATTTCCAGGTTGTTGCCAGAGATGACGACCAAGGCGCCAACGGACAGCTGAGCTACATGCTTAGTGGTGGGAACGATGAAAGAGCGTTCACTCTGTCATCCAGCGGTCAGCTGAGTGTCACACAGACTCTGGACCGGGAGACTAAGGAAAAATACATCCTGCTTATAACAGCTACTGACTCAGGTATGTTTTAAGACATATTTCATCTCATCAGATACATGTAAACCTTTTTCAAAATGTATAAACCTGTCATTTTTAAACATAATTCATTGTACTGTACCTTAATCTGTAGCCATCTCTTCTGGTTTATGGGTACAAGTTTGTAAGGAAGGATATATGCCCCCTGAATGTACTTACACCTTGGAGCTTATTCCCAGTACTTTGGCATGGAGCGATAAGTTTTTCAGCAACACTTTAAATAACACTTCCTTTTATACTAAACGACTAACAGAACCTAAACTTTTGCAATGATTTGATGTTTAGCAGAGAGAAAGAAAATAACTACAGTGCTTGATTCATTGAGGCCTGAAAAACAGTTCTGGTTGGGTCTGATACCTTAGTAATATCAGTAAACTGTTTGTCATACCAAGTTGGTGCATATCTGATTCTTCTCTAGTTTTGTCATTATTTGGTGTCCAGTCATATGTTCAAAATGTGCCTCCTCGTTCATCAATACCCACAATTGCAGACGCCTTTCATCAAACCTGCACCTTGTATAGAGTAACTGTATTATTCATATCTCTATTGCCTGGCCTCATTATTTTTCCTTGTGACAATGATTCTGAGATAAGGGAACTCTGCATCAACTAATCAGACTTCAGGGGGAGAGGAAACATAACATTAGAATTTATATATGATACTCTGGGTAGGAAAGAAAACCAACTATAATGAATGAAGAAATAAACCGTTTGCAAAATGCTGCTTTCCATGAACACCAGTGTCTCCATGTTCAGAGTGTGCACATAGATCTTTTTGTGTGGCACAACAACATAAACATTTTTTGGAGTTTTTAGCTTGCAAAATAGTGGTTATATATTTTTTTTTTGTTTCACAGAAGTCTTTCAGCAGTTTGCATTGAATAGCATCCTGTGTTTATTTGGATATGGCGGTGGAGCTGGTTATAGCCAGATAAAAGGTTAACTTGTTATTGCAGGGAGGCAAGTTAATGTGCAGTTAAAGGACTACGTGCGTATCCCCATTGCAACCAAATCACATGGTATTCCCCTTAAGTATACGTTTCTCTGAGCCCTTCTGGCGGAGCTGTCATGGTTGGAGGGTGGTTCTGTTTCATTCCTGGTCCGACCATGTGACCGTGCATAGGGTTGTATTTTTCTGACTGAGTTACAGACTTTGATGAAATGTGGGACTATGGTGATAGTGTGGCATGTGGAAAATAAGTTATTAAAACGCATATCCAAATATTTTGGTAATTTGAAGCAGTAATGATGTTTGTTTATTTTTTCATATGAAATGCTGCTTATGATTGTTTATTGTAATGAAGACACTTTGATTCAACTGTCAAGGTTTTGTTGCTTCATATGGTGTTTAGAGAAGTTGCCCAAAACCCAACATAGTCATTACGATTTGATCCCATTCTGTACTCTTCGCAGGGACTCCATATTTAGACCCCTGACAACAATTCCAAAATATTTTGACAGGTCGCTGCAGTACAATGTTGAGGCAAAGAAAGGGATTTTGGGGTAGAATATCAAAATATCAAAGAGCCCATAATCACAGTGCAGGCAGAATCAACCAGCAGCATTTTCTTACATTTTTGAGGCCTGCGCCCAGACGTCGGGGGGGAAATGGTTCTCCCAGGCGCTATCTGGCAGGAAATTTCCAAGGTGGACAAAGCAGAAGTGTCTCCAAGCAGGCTGTGTTCCATGACCCATTCTGAACCGCAGACATTCGTGTTGAAGTCTCTGGTTGTCCACGCGTGTTTGAGAAGACCGGCAGTCTTTGTCAGGGAGTGCCTTTGGTTTATAGAAGATTTATTTTGTAGGAAAAAGGGCTTTAACTGTCTGTCAGGAAGATCAAGTGCTGTCATGCTCTGTGTTGTCTGAAAGCAGAGGCAGAGTCCTGCTGGAACCACAGTGCACAACAAACACTTCAGTTTGACAAAAAGAGATAAATGACTTATACTGGGGGAAGGGAGGAAATAAAAAGGAATTTTCAGGTTTTGTCCCTTTTTTAGCTACGCTTTAGTAAATCGTCCTCTTGAGCAGATTCCTGTGAAGGTAAACTCATTAATTCAGTTCCAGCAGAGGTTGAGCACCATCTATTTAAACCAGCTGTTCACTCATCATGATATCAGAAAACTATGTGTATAAAGTCAGAAAAAAAAACTTTATGCCAGAAAAAAGATTTTCTGGCATAAATAAATAAGACAAAATAAAGTGTAGTATGATAAAAAAAATAAATCCTTATCTGTGTCAATAGGCTAATATTTTATTCATCCTATATTTAATGTCCATCTGTTAGTCTATGTTTCTGTTGCTGCATTCTTCTGTTCAACATTTTAGCCATCCATTTTTATAGGTTCCAGATTGAAAGTTGCACCACTGCAGTAAATGTTTGTATTTAAAAATAAAATATTCCCTCACAAAATAAGAATTTTGAAAACCTGGGCCTGCTTGACATGAGGATTCTGCATGAAGAGCTGGGTGAAATAATGGTTTCTGCAGACGATTCCTATTTAACTTTCCTCAAAGGTGTTTTGCACTGAATGGGGGCATTTTTTTTTTTTATTTCTGTATTTCTGATTAGCATTGAGATGGATAGTCTACTGTAAGAGAAACTGGTTTTGCTGCACTTGTGAATTGAGTGCATCTGCAGAGACACTTTAGGGCTTGTGCTGTCCCTTTCTGCTCTTGCTGCTCAGCCAACATCCTGGATCAGCTGCAGGCAAATCAGATTTTTAAGCCACTGCTGAGTAATGCACAAGTTTAGAGGAATTTAAAACAATGAGCCCTCCAACAGAGTGCTTTTCTGAATAAAATCTTGCTGTTATGGCTTTAGCAAAGCATCTGGCATTATGGAAAACATCTTCTTCTGCTTCTTGGTTAACACCATTTTACTATTACTCTCTTGTTTTTTTTTTTTTTTAAACCAAAACATATAGTTCTCTGTTTAAATCTGAAGACCAAGTTAGTAACAGAAAGACATCTGCAAATGATGTTATTTATGGCATTGCACTATTTTGTCTGTGAGTATTTAAAAGGTGCTTAAAATCAAATTAAAGTCAACAGTTTAGATGATTGTTTGTGTCATGAAGGCATTGCTTTAATGTATTTGTCTTCACATTTTAGACCTTTATGGGAAGGATGTGCCTCAGATGTGTGTGTTCATAAAAACAGAACCACAGAGGGAAAATTCTTACGATTAATATGAGCGGTTGTCTGTGTATATGTGTACATTTCTATGCTTGAACCTGCATTTACAAAATAGACTTACATTAGTCAGGAATATTTCAGAGTAGGGATGCAACTAATGATCATTTTGATAATCAATTAATCTGTTGATTTATTTCTTGGTAAATTTTCTTAACAATCGGATGGCAAAAGTTTTCTTTAAGAAGATCTTTTACAGAGTTAAACCAGATCAAACAAACTTTTCAACTTGAGGAGTTCCGGATAGAGCATATGGACAGATACAGTAAAACGGGTTTCATGCTAAATATATATATATATATATATATATATATATATATATATATATATATATATATATATATATATATATATATATATATATTCTTTTTTTTTTTAATAATTGTTTTTTCTTTTTACAGTATTTGTATAATAACTGCTTTAAGTGAGTTCCTCTGTCAGCTAAAGGCATGTTTAAGATTCTTTATAGTCCAGTTAAGTTAGATTAATCGATTGCTAAATGAGTTGAAGATCATTTCAATATAAATTAATCTCGATTAATGTGATTAATTGTTTCAGCCCTGTTCCAGAATGGCTGTGTAGTTATTCTTTATGTCCAAATGTTGCCGTAGTGAAATTAGAGCCTATCCTCTTTGAACTGTAGGGTTTTATGGATCAGAACATATTGAAAATGATCTGACCAAGCTAAAAAAGACCGGATCCTTTTTGAGTTGGTGCTGAAACACTAGAGCTAAATTAGCGTGCACTGTCTATCTAGGAAGGCCATATTTCGAAGTATTTGTGTTGTCATATTTTATGCTTTGGCGAGGACTGTCATTGACATGAAAATGTTTGAGTGCATTTATTTAAGAGAAGGCATGGAAAATCCCTTGGACCCTTTTGTATTTGTGGGATTACATAGAAAACTCATGTCTTTCACATCCCTCCAGCACATTTCTCTGCAGCGCCTCAGCTTTCTTACATGGCCTTTTGGAACCCAGTTGAAGAACATTTGAGGAGCCAGAACTACTGCATAGGAGATATATAATGTTGATCATCATCTCTGTTTAACAACAGGATCAATTTTATTCTTGATGGGCTGCCATTGATCTACAGCAGACAAACATATTTAAATGACCAGAGATCTAATTCTTTCAAGGCTAAAATCAGGTTTGAAGATGCCCATTTTAATCATATTATATATCCTTCACTTTCCAAATAGCCAAACAAGAATAAAGAGAACAAATGACAAACATTGATAAAGTTGCAGTAAGATTGTTAGTGCTCACAGTAATAAATCATTAATAGAGTCCGTTTTCTGGAGGTTTAAGGCAGTCTGCAGCCTAGTGGCAACACAAAAGGTAGCCAAATAAAATATCTGGTTCCTGAAATGAACTTTAACAGAGCAGTTAGGTTTGGGATCAGCTCTTAAAAAGCTGTGCAGTAACAATGTGGTCTCAGAGTGTTTTTTCCTATCGCCTGTTTTCTCTTTTCCACTCCCTGTTACAGCCTTTAACAACAACTGGAATGTTTCAGTAAATAGCTTTGCATGGGCTGGTGGTGTTGGTGGTGGGGTATTAAAAAGGTGGTGTAGGTCGGAGGGTTAGTGCCTTAACTCGGCAAAGTCTGCACAGAAATGATGTTTAATCACTCTCGGGGCTTCTTGTCGGGAAAATAACTTTCCCTCTTTTTGAGCGCATGTGAGGTTAAACATGTATGATTCCTGCTCTTAAACACGGTTCCAGAATCTCATTCCAGCGTTATGCGGTCCATGTATGAACATTATAGAGTCATATTAAGAGCGACCTATGCTGC